GAGACAGAGACAGACAGAGAGAGACAGAGACAGAGACAGAGACAGAGACAGAGACAGAGACAGAGACAGAGACAGATGATGGATGATGATGATGATAAACTGAAGGGGATGGGCTTTTGTCCCACACAAGGATCAAGGCTATCCACACCGAATACAATCTAAGGAAAACGGTGGCACGAATGTAGGTGGAGACAGAATGCTTTATGAAAGAGCGAGAAATACAGAGAGAGACAGAGACGGAGAAACAGAGAAATACAGAGAAAGACTGAGAGAGAGAGGAGAGAGAGAGAGACAGAGAATGACAGAGAGAGAAGAGAAAGAAAAAACTGACAAACAAAGACATACATGTAAGGGAGGACATGGGTTTTGATGTAAGACCCACATCACCCACACACACGCGCACACACACACACACACACACGCGCGCACACACACACGCGCGCACGCACACACCTCTCAGCACGCGCCTGCTGGGCATCTTTTTCCCCTATCGGCTGCGAGTGTGTGATTGACATGTGAGTGGTGGTGCGGGAGGTACCTGCGTACGTTCGTGTCCGTGTATGAACATGCGAGTAGATCGGGGTGGATGTCTGGCACGCTCTGGATACGTTTGACACGTCATGCGTGTGCTGCTTGCTGGCTGGAGGGTGGACCATCCATCATCATCATCATCATCAGGAGGGCTCTGCGCCATCTCATCGAGTGGAAGGGTTCTGCACGCCGGCATATGCAACAGGGGCACGAATGACGGCAAGTGTCAAGTGTTGCAGGGGTGCATGCTCAAAGACCATTGCTCTTGCTCGCCGACCAGCCCAATCAGGGCGCATGTCACTGGACTGATACGCAGGCAGAACAATCAGATTCATGGGTGTCGCCGACCGACGCATCATCCTGTGGCAAACATGGGCGAGAAAAAAAAAGTTCATCATCAAACCGGATCGCGTTCCCTCGTCGAAGACCCTCATACAGACATAAAGGGTTCATGTCCCATCCGGGTCGTTTGCTACACATTGGAAATAAGGTTTAGGTGTGGCTCAACATGCGGGTCCAAGTGCCAAGTGCGGGTCCAGTGCGCCGATTGGCGGCTGGGCAACAGTATGGTCCAACTGAAATCAGAAAACATGTCAGGTTCACATGCACTTTGAGGTTTTTTCACTCACGCAGGGTCAATCACATGCCCCGCTGTCAGCCCTCATCCCGTGGCTATCCTGACACTCTTGCTCCTGCTGGTGCTTCGTTTCAAACCCGCACCCACACCCGTGGACCAGACGATCCCATCCCCACATGGCAGACTTGTTCTTCTGGCTTACTTAGGGAAAGATGGGAAAGGGGGACGAAGCGCGATGCATCAAAGTTGCATCACAGTGCACGGCACAGAGCAGAGGCGCCGCTTTCATGGAACTCTGACATCACGGCCAACTTGAGCGTGTGGAGCTGATGCCACTGCGCCACAGGCGGTGGTGTGCCCAATAACGCCTGTTTCTCTCTTCTGTATGTTATTGCTCTGGCATGAGGCAACTCACCGTCACGATCATGTGTGCCTGGCACATGTCCAAGTTTAGGGTGTGAGTGCCATCAGTCGACTGGTGCCCTTTGCGCGTTGGTTTGCGCCAAAGCTTGCCCCATGGAGTGTGTAGATGGGAGTGATCTGTCGGTGATGGGGGCTCTGCCGTCGTTCCTGGGCGCAAGCCCGTTGCGCCCAACCAAACATCTAGGCCCTTCTGGAACGGCTTTGGACGATGCCAAGGTTGCTCCATTTCCTCCTTTTCAGGTTGATGATAATGGGCCCGGATCGCCAGCCAGCCCTCTTGATCAGGCGGATGTGATGTCGTACAATTCACAGCCGAGGTCACGTGCAAGCCGACCGCCGACCCCCACCTGCGGTTTGTGGGTGCCGGTCGATCGAAACCAAAAAGAAATTCGAAACGCACAACGCTGTGCAGCAAGTTGATGGCGCCTCCATTTGTGCTCGTCGACATGAGGTGGCAACCATGGCAGTTGCCCTCTGTCCCATCATTTCTCATCCTTCCCGGCCACACCTCCAATGTATTTGTATGCGCGCTACCCCTCTCGGCCGTTGCCCCATTCGGCACGGGCCCGTCAGCCAGAACCGGCTCAAAGCGTCAGCACCCCATTCACGAATGCCTGCAGCATGCCCCCTATACCATAATACCACAGTGCTAAGGAAAGGCCAGACTGTCTGTTGGTTTTCAACATAGACGGGAGCACTCGTCGAATGACCGTCTGCACGATGCTCCTTCCAAGCATCAGCAAATGCCCGCCGTTCCCACCGCCGCCGCCACCATCAGCATCGTTATCATCAGATTAAATTGCGCTTCAACCGTCCGGCACGCAGTGAAGCAATCAAGAAAGGGCGCTCGGCGCTCCAAGTCGATCGATGGGAAAGTAAACGACCACGACAAGTCAAAAAGGTACATTGTATGGATGGATGGATCAGCAGGCCCATTAGGCAGCTGGGTCAACGGTAAAGTCACACACGGTCGGATCCACCAGCCGAAGGTAGTCTTGGAGTAGCATGGCCACAGAGAATCGGCGGTCGCCGGCATTAAAGACGATGCGTTCATTGTCGAGCAGCTTTCGATCCACCAGTACGTCTAGCTGAAAGAGGTTCCCGAAAGGCGGAACGCCTCCTGGGAGGACGTTGCCGGTCAAGGTCGCCACCTCATCCTCGGGCGCAAAGCGAATGTCCTTGGTACCCAGCGCCTTTCTTGCAGCACGGTTGTCAAACTTGGCGTCCGCAGGCAGCACCAGCATGGCATGTCGCGGGGTCGCTGCGCCCTTGACCTTGTAACGCACAACGATGGCCTTGGCGCCCTGGTGCAGGCCGTACCCAGGTCGCGTCGCGGCCGCGGCCTCGGACGTCAACACAGCATCATGCTCAAACGTTTGATGCCAACAGTCATTCGTCGTCAGCACATCCAAAATCTGCTGCACCACTGGGTGGTATGGCGGCGTGGCGCTTGCTGCTGCCTCCTCGGCCATGGCGCGACGCTCGAAACCCCGGCCGGCGTCCTCTTTGCTGCGCCATCAGCCAGTGACGGGTCAGTGAAAGCATTCGCAGCAAGATCTCGGTCGCCTGCGCGCCTTGCACCTTGATATTCCACACACACACACACACGCACACGCACACACCCCTCTTCATGCATGCGTCCCGCTGCCAAACTATCAAGGTGTCAAGCCCGCGCGCACCGCCATCGTAAACTCACCTCAGAGAGTGTGTGTGAGATGGAGACTGAAGTGTGTGTAGCAGATGGGAGAGAGTGAGAGAGTACGCGTGTTGGGAGAGTGTGTGAGAGAGAGAGTGGGAGAGTGTGGGAGAGTGAGAGAGTGAGAGTAGTGTGTGGAGAAAAAGAGAGTTTGAAGAGAAACGAACACAGAGAATTACCATGAGTTTGAGAGAGTTTGAGAGAGTTTGAGAGAGTTTGAGAGAGTTTGAGAGAGTTTGAGAGAGTTAAGAGTTTGAGAGAGAGAGAGAGAGAGAGAGAGAGAGAGAGAGAGAGAGAGAGAGATTGACGGGGGCGATCGGGCTTTGGCTTGTCTGCTTTTGCTTCTGGGTTGTGCATGGTGCTTGCTCAGGGGCCGCGTCAACGGATCGTACTGTCATGACCGAGATTCCGCGTCAAGGGCCTGCCTTTGTGCTGGAGGGTGCGTCAGCGGGCGACTTTAAGGTGTGTCATCTCGCTACTGTCAGGCTGCTCGGTCGGGATCCCCCAGCCGTTAAAGTTGACACCTGGACTAGGTTTGAAGCGTGGTTTGATGGGATCACCTCATGCTCGACTCTCCCTGTCCCTCTCCCTCTCTCTCTCCCTCTCCCTTGTTTCTCTGTTGGGCGTGAATTTGGCAGGCGGAAGTGACGAGCTTCAAGCAGCGTGTGGCCGTGGCGAGCTGCCAGAATGTCGCCGTACGAGTGACGGGCCGTGGAACCGCCATGTCCATGGACGGGTGTCGTGACAGCTCCCTGCATGCCGATGCCTGCACTCAGCTCGAGCTCAATCGCTGCAGCAAGTGCGAGGTCCAGGTGGAGGCTGAGCTGCAGCGTGTTTTACTGGATGCCTGCGACGACATCAATCTCTTTGTGCCCGCCGACGGATCCGGCCGCGGACCTGCCAACCCAGACCTGGAAATTGTGCACTCTCGCAGCACGTCCATCCAAGTCAAGCTCCTGCTGCCCGAGGGCAAGCACCGGGTCGTCAGCGTGCCCTCGACCTTTTCCAGCACCTTTAACCAAGAGGGCGCCCTGGTGACCCGCCCTGCCCACCACATGATCTGAGTTTTGGCCAACTTGATTTTACCCCTCTGGTCCATTTGGCGCCGCGCGCCCGTAGCCTGGCTCACATCAGCGGCTCAACACCCCAGTGTGTCCCTTTGGGGCCTCGTTCGTTCTCCGGCGCCTAGCAACACAGCTGACAGACGCCTGACTTGGCATGCCCATGCAATCTAATCTCAAAGCTCATCTCCCCGCCATACATGTGACGGCGGTCAGATGCTCACAGAGGCTGGGAGGAGTGTCAACCCCCACCCTTGCCAAGGGGGGCAAGAGGGGGCGGGGGGCGGGGTCACCTTTGGCTCATTTCAAGCTCCTGGTGGCTCTCTCACCCTCACTTGCTCACACACACTTTCTCTGCCTTCCTGACCTCTGTGCGGCCACCTCTGAGTTGACCTCTGTTTCAACACAACACTTTGTCCCTCTCCCATTGTCATCTCTGATTTTATCACACAAATTCAATGCATCTCTACTTCTTACTCTTCTCTCAAAGGATTTTTTTTTTTTTGGGGGGGGGGGGGAAACATCTCTCTCAACTGAGCGGGCGCGTGTTTGGCAGCGCCATCGGGACGAGAGAGAGAGAGGAGCGGGAGGGGAGGTGCTGGTGGTCAGACGGAAGAGGACGGCGGAACAAAAGAGCAGGTGGTGCAAATGAAGGGGGTCTTTGTGGACCAGCCGAGTTTGCAGTGCCTTTATCGGGCTGTGGCTCCGGACAGCCCTTGACTTGATGCACTGGTGCTGAAAGTCGCACAAACGTACTTGCGGACGGCCCTTCGCCACCAACGCCATGGCTGCACCGGGCGACAGCATGGCCACCGTCACTCGACGGTTGCTCTCTTCGGCCTCGGCGTCCATGTCATCAGATCCAGACTCGCCCACGGAAAATGGCTCAAGTGCCTCCTCGACCACGGCCTCGACCACGGCCTCGACCACGGCCTCTGGCCGCTCCAGCCGCACCTCTTTTGCTGCAGCCGGTCGCACTGTGCTCCGATCTATTAGCTTGAAAAAAGCTGTCGTGCAGCCCGCGCAACGCCAGTTCCACGCTCGACGGCTCTCTCGCCACACTGGCAGCACCAGTGCCGAGTCAGACAAGCCTGCAGGTCCGCATGGCCGTTTCGGTGGCACCTTTCACCGCATCGTTCAGGCTTCTGTTGCGGTCAGTCAACTCGCCTCCGCCCCCGCTTCTGCCTGGCTCGCAAAAAAAAAAAAAAAAAAAAAAAGGCGCTCTCTGGCTCATGGCAGCTGCATGCATGAATCATCCTGTAGGCACAAGAGATGGCCAAAAGTGCCAACCGCCGCATGTTGCGCCAGTGCCTTTCACTTGCCTTTGACATTGTCGCCATCGCCGCCAGTACCACGGAGAGCGGGCCTAATCTCGTGCTCCTCGCCACGCGCCAGCTCGTGCTTCTTGAAACAACTTCAGCCGAGGCATGTCGTCTCACAGGGGCTCGCGCTCGCGATGCCCACCCACAAACAAATGCGCCTAGTCGCGCGGGCGTCCCATCGAGTTCCCTGATGCCCGTGTGCTTGAATCGCAACCACAGGAACTGGCTTCTCAGTTATTGCTTGACCTGAGTCAGGAGGACCTGGAACTTGGTGATTCTCCAGACAGCGAAACCATTGATAAGACCTTCAAGTGTGCTGCCTTTGCCCCAGACAACACGTCAGTCGTCTCAGTTTCGGGCCCCTGTTCTTTAGATGGTTATGTCCAGCTTCATTTCTCTGCCTGATTTAGCCAACACTAATGAAATTTCTCTGACCTGTCCCTTTGGTTTTTCTACCGTACAGCGCGGTAGCATGCTATAGCGCAGATCACCGGATCGGGATATGGGACATCTCAGGCAATCTTCACGACATTCCCACGCTTCGCTGGTCTCTTCCAGGTGAGTCGCACGGCCTCTCCTCAAACTGACTCCTTGCCTTTGTGGTAATTCTTGTCCCTGACCATGAGGACGCGTGATCTGCTAGTCTTGTCAGAGCACGAGCGCAAGCAAACGGCACGCGCCATGTGCTGGTCAAAAGATGGTACCCATGTGGCCATGGGTTGTGACGATAAAACTGTTCGGTATGTCATTGTCCAAGCCCAACTTGCACCCGGCACGACCCCCTCCCAGCCTGCCCCACATGTCAATCTTACATTGTCTTCTTCCGACAAACTACTACAATGTTGCCTGGAACAGCGTGTTTCAGGCTCGAACGGGCACGGCTGTGCGTGAAATTAATCAGCCGCACGGTGACGCCGTCGTGGGCGTGGCCTTGTCTTCAGATGGTACGTTGGGACCCACACATGTACCTGATCTTGGGCCTTCCCCTTATAGTGCAGGAAACATTTCGTCTGTGCCGCCCCCAAATGGGGTTTTTAACATAAAAAAAAAGCGCATCGTTGATCGTATTACGGTGTGCCCCCACGATTCGCAGCCCGACTGTTGCTGACTGGCTGCAAGGACAAGCGCGCGCGTCTCTTCGATGTTGACACTGGCGCCATGGTGTTTGAACACAGTGCCGTTCGTCAGCATACCGCTAGCGCAACCCCTCGCTCCATGTGCAATTCCGATTGCAATTCACCCCCGTCATTCCTCCACCATACTGCTAGGAGGGGCGGGTGTATGCCGTAGCCTTTTCTCCAGACGACCGCCGCATTGCAGTTGGCGACGACAACAAGCAGGTATGAGCTGCCCTCCTTGAGCGTCGTCACCCCTCGCAAAGGCTCCCACGCTCACCGTGTTCTGCCCAAACGCACGCTCTCGGCTCCTGGGGGGGGAACCTCGCGTGGCCAGATTGTGATTCTGGATACCCTGGGACATGAGAAACATGCCATTGCTGAACACTCCGACTACGTTCGCTCCATTCGCTACAGTGACGGTGTGTCCGGGCGCTGTGTACCGCTTGGCGTTTCTTGCCCTCAGTCGTCGCTCACTTTTTCACTGCTTTAAATATTGTTGGGGCAGATGGTGAGCTCTTATTCTCTGGGGGCAAGGACGAGCGACTGCTGATTTTCGATGCAAGCACCGCTCAACCACGTGTTGCACTCGAACACGTTGGCTGGGCCACCATGCTTGCTTTTAACGTAGGCACCCCGCCCATCGTGCCTCATCTGTTCGGGCCAAGCACACCCTCACCGCTGGCTCATCTCCCATCAGGGCCATACCAAACAATTCATGTCCGCTGTCCAAGCTCGCCAAGATTCAGCCGTTCGCCATCTCAACATTTTCAACATCTTCAACAACCGCGATTCAGTCGTCACAAAGAGTACGTGCAAGATTTCCAGCGACCAACTGGCTTGGTTTGGGTGGGACGGGTTTTTGATGTCTGACATCCGTCCTGACCCGCGCAGCCATCAAGCTCAAAGTAGCCATTTCCGCCATCGCCTTTGACAGCCGGTAAGTTGGCCACCGTGGGTTCTTGTTCCAAACCAAGGCTTGGGGCGTATGTGCCCCAGAGAGTTTCTCGAGCGCACCTTTTCCTGATCGCTCGCTTGCGGTTGGTGTGCTCCCGTTGGCATGAAATAACAGGAGGGAGATGATTTGGTGCGGAAACAAAAAAGGCAAACTTGTGGGTGTAGATCTTTCCTCGTTCAAGGTATGCAACAGCAGTCAACATTTGCTCGCCGCATCGCGCTTTCCCCTGTCTCACACGACTCACTTTGCCACATGGCACAGACCACACATTCCACGGGCCTGCATGACAAGACCATCACATCTCTGGACATCTCCGCAGATGGAGTCATCGCAGCAACCTGCGAGGATGGGCGGTTTGTTGATGCGCCACCTTTTTACAAGAATCACAGCTCGTTGTCAACTTTTTTTTCTTATGTTGCGATGATTTGATGTAGACTTCGCGTCGTCCTACCACAGCCCGGGGGCAAGTTCTTGCAATCCGAGGAACTTCACGAGCAAAAGGTTGGTCGGTGCTTTATCCCAAGCTGCAATCACCCAACTCCTGCCAATTGATTCGAAGATGAATGAGAGCTGCAGGAGAAACCAAATTTTTATTATTCATTTTTTTTTTTTTTTCGCGGGGTGATTGCAGGACAAGCTGACAGCTGTCTGCTATTCACGTTGTGGCAAATGGCTGGTCTGCGGCGATTCCAAGGGCCACGTGTTGGCCTTTGACACAGAGGATCAACTGGTTAGCCCGTGCAATTTTTTAACCACATCCTGACTCCTTTTCGTCTGGTCTGCATCTCAAACAACTGCGCCATTTATCTTTCTGCCAAGGTCTGCCGGGCACAACTGGCCCCATGCGTGACGGCTTTGCGCTTTACGGCGTGCAAGTGCAAAGCCTCATATGCAAGCTGTGATGCACGTCTCGTTGTTGGAGCGAGCGACGGCAACGCTTATGTTTATGACATGAATATTCTTGGTACGCTGCATCCCATTTCACCATCAAACCACCGAAATGTGTGCTGGCAGGCTCACATTGGTCCTTGATTTCGACCTCGGACGGTCTCGTTTCCTGCACAGTGGCTGCCATGGAGTCAAGTGATCCGGCCTCCGCCCGTGAGGCCGCCCTGCAATTCACTTGCTCTGGACACACCAAAGAGGTTCGGCTCGTTGGTCGCACCCGGCTTGGCCCCGTCATTTTTGCTTCGTCTTTTTTTTTTTTTTTTTTTTTTTTTTTTTTTTTTTTTTTTTTTTTTTGCTTGGTGCCTTGACGTAATGCCTGATGTTTTTATTTTGAGCACAGATTTATGATGTCGCCGTTTCAGAGGACGGCGAGCTGATGGCAACAGTTTCGCGAGACAAAACTGCCCGTCTGATGCGCACAAGCACGGGTACGCGTCCGTGAGGATCAAGGCGCCGGCAAAAAAAGTTGCAGTTCACGTCACATCACTGGTTGTGCATGCAGGTCAAGTGATTGCTTGTAAGGCTGGACACTCAGACCATGTCAAGGTACGGCGAGTGTCTTGCTGTCGGCCTCACCTAACCCTCAACTTGCTTGTCTTCGCCTTTTGCTTTGTGCTTTTTGTTCAAGTCCGACTCCTGGTTTCAAAATCAAATTCCAAGACATTGACCCTGGCTGGTGTTTTGCTCGACAACAGGGCGTCTGCTTCACACCGAGCAATGAGGTCGTTTCCATCTCCGCAGACAAGACTCTGCGGTGTTTTGAGCGTGAGTTGTGCTTCCTGTCTGTTCAATGACGGTGCTTTCTGGCAGCAGAGCGAGTCTCACAAGGCACGCTCCGAGCCACAGACGTTGAAGATGAATCCTCAACCATGCACTATGACGATTACACAAGCCGCTTCGTGGCGCTGCCCAGCGGTGGTGCTTGCTCAGCGGCTGCGTCCTCGGAGAGCCGCTTTGTGCAGGTCAGCCTCCTTGTCCATTCGTCTTGGGGTATAAACGAACCGAAGCCATGTTGGGTCGAGTCGTCACTGCGCAATTTCTTTCGGTGCACACCCGAGACAGCTGGTGGCAGTAGGCTGTGACGACGGTAGTTTGGCCATCGTGGACATGAGCATGTGCTCGCAGCAGGTTTGATGGCGCCTTTGGATTTGTGTTGGTCTCCCAGTTGCCAGGCCTTCAAGTGTCGTCACCTTGACTTTTTTTGCCATTGTGTTTAGCCATTTTATGCAGAAGCAAGAAACATCATTTCCCGCGATGTTGAAAGTATGTCATTCTTGTGAGGCGGAGCATATGAACTTCACCAAAACTGATGGTCTGTGAAACATGTTGACTTGCTTCATCTTCCACCCTGCCAGCTCGGGACTACGCAGCCACGAGTTCCATCCTTCAACGCTTTCCTCTGATGGTCCACGAGTACGTGCTGCCACACCAAAGAAAATCAGTTGCAATTGGTGGCTTGCCTCATGTTCACCTTCATGCGTAGCGCGGATGCCGATGGAAACACCCTGACACACATGGCGGTGGCTCGTGAAAACGACGCCCTGCTTCAAGTTTTGCTCAAGGCGCGCCTGCCCAAATTTTGGCTACCCTTGAACAATAATGGCGAAGACATGCTCAGTATTGCCACACAGCTGCGCAACCGGTGCGCGAGATCAAACGGGGCACAAAAGCAAAGGCGCTGGCTTGATTGCATGTGCACTTGCTCACTTGCCTGCATGCTGTGGGTATAGGGCCTGTGTGCAACTCATCCTCGAGCGTATCATCCAAGCCAAGGAGGTTTGCTCTCTCTCTCTCTCTCTCTCTCTCTCTCTCTCTCTCTCTCTCTCTCTCTCTCTCTCTCTCTCTCTCTCTCTCTCTCTCTCTCTCTCTCTCTCTCTCTCTCTCTCTCTCTCTCTCTCTCTCTCTCTCTCTCTGTGTCTCGAGCCAATCGCCTTTTTGTTGCAGCCAATCTGATGTGCCGCTCAGCTTGGGTCTTCTTTGTCGTGTTTCTTTTTGACTTTTGTATTTCTTTTATCTTCGCTGAGCGTAGCAGGATCAACTGGCTGGCTTGCCGTCCAAGCGGAATCGTTTTCTGCGTACGCTCCTTGAACTCGCCAACAACGGCATGGATGACCTCTTGGCCACGTTCCTAAGTCAATTTGGACTGGATGATGCTTTACCCGCTGTAAGTCCTTGCTGCCAGCTATTTTATTCGCAGCTTAAGGAAGGCGGGGGAGAAGCGCAGCAAAAGGGGGTCGCAATTTTGCCTCGTGACTCATGCAATGCCCTGACGGACCACATGCATAGTTGGGTGCCAATCCCTTTCAGGCTGCCGTCGCCCGCGAATACATCGTGGGCTCAAATGAGCGGATGCCCAATGCTCTTTGGCTGCGCCTGCGGCAGAAAGGTGTGCAAGTGAAGCGAAAATGTTTGAGGGCCGCGAGGCGTGGCTCCTGTTGTGTTCCGCATGAGACACAATGCTGACATGCATTCTTTAGGCGAGCTTGGCCCCTTGCCACAACCCGGAGCACCGCGTATGACTGCCAAACATGTTGGGTACGTTCACGCGCTTCCAACGGCCCTCTGCAAACGTGCGCACACCTCCAGCGACTGACCTTGTTGTCCTTGGGTAGTATCATGAACATTGCGGGACTGATGTTGGCGGAGCATGCCACCATCGAGTCTGCCCTGGCAAACTCGGTTTTGCACACGTTTATTCGTGCCGGCAATGCGCAGGTGTGTTCTATACGCGAACCCTCTTCACTTCTTCATTTTTTTTTCCCTTCTTCTTCTTCCTCTCCTCTCATGTGCTGTGGATAATCTCACCTATCATTCTCTGTGAAATTCCTCAGCTTTTTGGCAATGACATTATGAAATCGATTCTGCATTTCAAGTGGGAGACATATGCTCGTGGCCTGTTTTTCAGGTCAGTGACTTGAGTGCCCTAAGCTACAAGTTTTGAGTGACATGGCCCTCAGCACCGGTTTGGCCTTGGCGTAAATGTATCAGGGAGCTGGGCTATTTCGTCATGTTCTTGCTTGCGTTTACTGTCTTTACGCTGCTGGCGGCACAACTGGACCGGCATGCCTACTCCTTCTTGGAGCTATGGACAGGCTCCTGGGCCGGTTTCATCTGGTATGTGCTTCTTGTTCATCCCAAACTTTGCTCGGCTTGGAGGATCATCCCTTGTTCTCATCACCTCTACTCCTCCTCCTCCTCCTTCTCCTCCCTTTTTCACGCCTTCCTATATTTTCATTTGTGCTATCCTCCATAGTTGCTCGCTGTCAATGATGATTCCGGCCTACAGCTACCGCCACTTGCTGATCGAGTACCAACAGTTTCTGCGCGCAAAGGGAGACCAATCGTTGTCGGGGGGCACTGATCGTACGTACTCTGCCACAAAAAAAAGCTCTGCTGTGTCTGTACAGGAACGATTGACTTGGCTTTATCGATACGTCAAATCTTTGTCTCACCCCGGCCGGGCTCTCGGTCCATTGTGTGCACGCGTTAGTGTCTGGCATCAATGCAGCGCTGACCGTGCTCGTGGATGGCTGGAACCTTTTGGGCGTAAGTCGGGCACAACACCACATTGAACACCGAGTCGGAGAAGTGTCCTTGAAATCTCTCACCGGCTTGACACTCTACTCGGACCCCTTCAATTCGTGCTGATTTGGGGCCGCGTTTTTAGATCATTCTTGCTGTTATGACATTTGCCTCCTGCTGCCTCTGGATCATGGGTTCTTCGGCCTTTGCAATCGTCTCTTCTATTGCCGCGTTTGCAAATTGGATTCAGGTGGGGGACTGAGCTTTCTCAACGCATAGATTAATGGAGAATGATCCGGACCACTCTAACCACACCTTTGATGAATGCTGGTAGATTTTATACTACTTTCGAGCTTTTGAGCTGACGGGTGGCCTGGTGCGAATGGTGTTCAAGGTCTTCTACTACACTGGCCCTTACATGATGATTCTTAGCGTGGTCTTGCTAGCAACGACCAATTGTCTTTACGTGCTGTTCAGGTTTGGGCTGGCTGCCTCTGTGGTTGTTTTGCTCAACTTGAATGACGACCAGGTCGTGCTCTGCTGATATGTGTCTCCTGCCACGATTGCCAAACTGTAGTGACATAGAGACGGAAGAGGGCAGCGTGTTTCACCAGACTTTATCCCCCTTGCACGCACTTTTCGTGACTTTTAACATGGTGTTGCTCGGCGAAGGAAACGTACGTACGCCTGGACAGGCGCTCGCCATCTTCCCACAATTTCGCCACATTTCTTGCTCTATCCTTCTCTCATCACCCGTGAGCGCGGGCTACGTTTGATCTTTGCAGGTGACGGAGGGACTGCCGGGCGATCGCCCTTTTGTCAAAGCCTTGGTCATTATTCTCTTCTCGCTATTTATGGTGGCCATCAACATTTTCATGCTCAACCTGATGGTGCGCTTTGGCAACCCTCCCCTGTGCGTTGCTCGGCTTGCTGGTGCACCCGCTCTCACACGTCCATCATCTCGTCGTTATGGGGTTTACAGATCAATCTCCTTGACGACTTTATGCAAAAGGTTCGCGTCAGACTGCTTTTTTTTATTTGAATTCTGAATCTGTGTTTCAGCTCGCTCGTTCCTGTCTCACGCACACACGTGCATTCCATCAGATTAACGACGATGAGGGTGATGCATTTCCTTTTGAGCTGGCTCGAATCATCGCTGGTCAGTTTTGTTGAAAGGCATGGTCAGCCACAAAAAGCAAATCCTGCCTCGATCACTGCTGAAGCAATGTGTCGGTTTGCTCGCCGTCACTCACTTTTTTTCCGGCGCAACCTTGTTTTCGCGGGTCTTGATGCACAGAGATTGAGCTACTCATGCCTTTGGATGATTTGCGCAAGGCAGCATTATTTCCCGAATGGCTTCACATCTTACGACCCAAGGTCTGCCGTTTCGTTCAAAAGCGAACTGTCGCAGGGTGGCCCAAGTCTCGCTCGTCCTTGGTCTCTCTGTGGCGAGGCTGGCACAAGGCACCTCTTCACGAAAACGCGTTGCCTCGTGGTGCATCTGAGTACAGGGCGATGAGCTGTTGCGTCTGACGGCTGGCGATGCCTGGAAAGGCACGGTGCAAGCCATCAAGAATGGTCAGTCGGCGTTGTTTGATCGGCTCAAGTCTTCGTTTCATGCCTCATGCATGCACGCTCTGCAATTGTGAACTTGCAGAGAACAACCATTTGGAACGCAAGTATCAAAAGGCGCTGGCAAACATGGAAATGCGCCTCAATACCAAATTTGATGTGTGTACCTTGCCCCAAGCGGTTCCAAGTCTTTGATATGGTGCTCTAATAAGGATCCTCTGAGGGCAGGTGATGGCAATGCAGTACAAACAAAAAGTGGCTGATCTTGATGACAAACTTTCGCGCAAGATTGATGACATGACAATGCGTAAGTCAGCTCCCCTCTCGCCATGTCCCAAAGTTTGAGCACATTCACCTGCTTCACATGTATCCGCGGCACGCTAGGCGTCCTGCAAGCAACCTCGAACCGACGAGTATGTATCGGTTGGCGAAGAAGCGACAGAATGCGTGTAGTTGCTTACCCTTTCTAACCGCGATTACTTTTGCCAATGTCTGGTGTTTGCCACAGCGCTCTGACGTGGACTCTGGTGCAACCACACCAAACCCGTATGTCATTTTCGCGCTCGTTTCCCTGCCTTCCCCTGCACCAACTGTCCAGTTATTATCGGTTACAGATTTGGTGGATCTCAGATTTGTTCAGCTGCTGAACCGTCCCTGCTTTCTTGGGCGCTCACAAGTTTTGCGTCGTGGTTTTGATGGCAGAGTAATGATTCAAGCGCGGTTGGAACAGCATTCAAAGTTTGTCAGAGGCCACGACCATTGGCAGTCGCGTAAGTGCCCTGATTCTCTTGTCGCAGCATAATGCATTGCGAAGAAAGCTATTCCTCAACACGGATGGCCTGTGGGTTTCGTACCAAATCTTTGTGGGTGTGGACAGACTCCCCCTTGCATCGTGTACGATCCTTGGATGAGGATGGTGGCGGTCATCAAGAGCTGAATCGCAAGCTTGGATTGCAACACGGCGAGAGCACGCGGCTTGATGTGGCTGCCGCCTTGTCCCAAGCGGGCTTGAGTCTGGAGGACGAAGCTCCGCCGGCTCGCTCGCGCGTGAATGGCGCCGCACAGGGCACCCTGCCGTCACAAGTTTCAATCGCCGTGTCGCATGCGTCATCAACCTCTGACGTGCGAGCCACCTCGCCGACTTGGTCTGAACTGTCAACTTCATCCACGAGCTCAAGCGAACGCCGGCGACGCAGGCTGCCTGTGAGCCCACGCGATGCCACTTTGCGCACCACGGCGAGCCTTGATCAAAATTCTCCATCTGCGGGGACCTCCTCGCCGGGGGGTTCGCCTCGCCTTCTTCCACGGCGCTTCCTGTCGCCCGATCAATCCGCATCTCGCATGCGCTCCCGTTCGCCTTCGCGATCGCCCACACGATCACCGACTCGTACGCCTGCTTTGCAGGGGTTGCAGCGCGGGCGGCCACCACCACTGGGCGCCCTTGCGCGCTATCACAGCGCACCCGTCGAGCCTGCACCCACCGAAGAGCTGGACTCATCCGGAGATTCTGTTTTGTATCGCTTTGATCGAAACGATTCATCGGGAAGCTCTGCCAGCCTTTCCAGCGGGCCGTCAAGCGGTCACTCGAGTCGACGACCCTCCATTGATCATGGCAGCCCCGGTGTAGAGCCCCGTTCTTAGCTTTTGGTTGTGTGAGGGTTCGATCTGTTTTTCCGCCATGTTCTGACCTATTTTCCTTGTGTATTTTTACCTTTTCTATTTTGACTTTCGATTTTGACTTCTGACCATTACAATTAGGGCTTGTCAAGTAGTGCAAATGCCACCCAGAGCTGTATAGAGATGGGGGTGCCCTCTGCTCCCCTCGAATTAGTCTGCCTTGTTTGTTGTGCAAGCAATTGAGATTAGTCCATTACTGAGACCTTGACCATGCAGGCCAATCATTTGTTCACATGGTACCGCTGTATTGAACCAAAGAAGGGTGCAATTGCGTCGCAAACAGTGTGACGCAGATGAAAAAATAAGAGAACACGGACAGCGATCGTTTGCGCCACGCCCGCCAGCTCAGCTGGGAAAGGAATGTGGCACGAGCATATTGTTGGAAGAAAGAAAGAAACGAACAAACACGGTTACGTCAATGCGAGAGGCTAATACGGCGAGAGAAATACAGGTCGTTCAAGAAGACGCGGCTGATATGGGAGCATACGTGCAGCAAGACTGGCACTGATTACAATCGAACATGGCACGCGTCGAGATATATACACTGCAGACTGATGACAGGGCCTGTGCGGGAATTACGCTTCAGTGTTGTCCTGAGAGCTGTTGAGCAAAGCTTCCTTGTCTCGCTGAAGCTCGGCAAGGGCAGCGCGCAAGGCCATCTCTTCTGAGCGCAGGGCGGCCACGCGGCTCTCCATGGCATCCTCTGACTTTTTTGCTCTTTGGCGGCGGTCGCGCATGTAAGCCGCACGGCTGCGGCTAGGGCGCTTGTTCAGGGACTCGGCCGATTGCAGAGAAAGGTTGGAGGAGCTGGTGCGGGAGGAGGCAGCGGTGGATGCAGTCACTTGCGCGTGGTCGTCTGAGGCTGACCCGGCGGCCAACAACAAACTAGCGGTACGACTAGCGCCACGGCGACTCTCGTCTTCCGAGGAGTCGGCACGGAAGGAATCGGGGGAGTTGCCGCAACCATCGCTATAACCGGTGCCTTGATCCTCCTCCTCGTCCATGGCATGGCTGGACAGTTTGCGTGGGGCCAGCATGTTTGGGGCCAGGCTGGAGCTGAGGCGAGCTGAATGGGATTCAAGCCACTCAACGACATCTGTGGCATGCAGGTGGGTGGCCAGATCGATGGGACGGGTACCGTCGCGGGCAGCGTGCATCATGATCAACATCTGTTGATTGACGTGAAGGGTGGCGAGGACGTGCTGCATAAGTTGAAGATGGCCTTCGAGGACGGCACAATGCAGCCAGGTGCGGCCTTGACCGTCCTCTGAGTTGAAGCGAACGGCACCCGTGGACAGGAGCCACTCCAATTCGTCTGTGCAGTTGTGAGTGGCGAGCAGATGGAGGGGCGTGGCACCGGTGGCGGTGCAATCTGTCCAGAGAGGATGCTGAGGTTGAGCTAAGCGAAATTCGTGGAGGACGTCGCGGGAGCTGTGGAGGATGGCGAGGTGGAGGGCGGTTTGTCCTCGAGGGTCACCAAGACGCAGGTTGCAGGCCGGTTGTGCGAGGAGGACGCGGGCGGAGATGGGCATGTTGAGAGCAGCGACCTGCATAAGACAGGTGTAGCCTTGGTCGTTGTAGGCATTGACAATGTCTGGATAGGAGGCGACCGCGGCCAGAAGGGCGCTCAAAGCGCGTGCGCAGGCTTGGTCGTTACCCTGTTCCGCAGCCAGGTGGAGAAGGGTTTGGTGCTTGGTGTCAATAACGGCGGGGTTGGCGCCAAGTTCAAGAAAGGTGGGGATGAGGTCGGCGCGTTCGAGGCGAATGGCCCAGGATAAAAGGGTGAAGCCAAACTCGTCTTGCTCTTCAAGCAGATCGCCCTTGCTGTTGGCCTGACTGAGTACGCCAGCCAGGTCTGCAGGGTCGGCATCGAACATGCAAGCCTTGATGTCTGCCGGGCCGGGGTTTTGGTTGGTCATCACGGTTGAGTGAGCCCAAGAAGACGGCGAGGAAGGAGAGAAGAGGGTGGGACGGAAGGGGTCAAAAGAAGCAAGCGTACCGTTGTAAGATATGGCCGGGGCTGCCACGCCGGGGTAACCCTGGGTTTTCACATCGAGCAGCTCTTCAGTTGCCTGCCCAGAGGGGTACGTTTGAGTGAGGTTATTTCAAAAAGAAAGGGGCGGGGGATGCGTTGTGGGCGACTAGATGTAAACTATTGCCAAGTGGGAGAGAGAATAAGCAAGCTCAGCCTACCTCATTGAGATCGGCATAAGAGTAAGCAATGTGACGGCGGCGACGGCGGCGCACGAGAAGAATGGCAATGATGACGAGGAGGATCAAGATGGACGCGCCGGTGCAAATGGCGACGGGCAGGGCCCAGGAAGGGAGGGAAGAAGGGGGCGGCGGGGCAGTGCCGGGATTGTGGGTCACGTTTAAGGTATGGTGGTGGGAGGCATCGGCTGGCGGGGAGGAAGTAACATGAGCGGGCGGGGCCATGGTGGTGGTGGTGGTGGTGATGATAGTGGCGGCGGTGGCGCTGCTGCGGCGGGGATTTGTGATGGAAGCAGTGGGAACGGCAGTGGCGGCGGTAGTGGTGGTGGGAAAAGGCGCAGCGGTGGAAAATGGGCTGGGGGGTGGGCACAGAGGAAGGTTGTAGGTAGGATCTTCCGGTGGAGTGCCGGGAAGCTTGCAGCGGGGCATGCCCGTTGGTCGGGGACGAGGGGGTGGATAAAAGGGCGGGGGCGGAAGCAGCTGCTCAAGCGGCGGCGGCGGCGGCGACGGCGGAGACGACGGCGGCAAGCGGGGTGCGATCTGCGAGTAGCGATGGCAACCTTGAGATCCGAACGGCGGGGGAACGGCGGAGCGAGCAACGATGACCCCCAGAATAGAAACCCAGCAGCCCCGTACCTCAGACGTTGCGGTGAAGGCTTTGATTTGACCACGAGCCGCAGCAAATGGCTCTGACACGGACTTGAACAATGACTCAACACCTCCACCTCCACCTCCACCTCCAGCAGCACCAGCACCAGCACCAACACCAGCACCAACACCAACACCAGCAGCAGGAGGAGCGTTGGGGTCAGCTTGAGCTTGAGCGGCAGCGAGCAAGCGACCCAACGTCTGCTGCGCCTGCGCCGTCTTCACCGGCACGGCTGATACAGGCCCAAAGCACAACAACTGAACCCAAATGAGCAGCAGCAGCAACAGGGGCACCCAGGGCCGACGCGACAGGTACGTAGCCCGCGCCATCGCTGCCATTCTGATGTCGTCCTGATGGCGTCTTGATGTTGGCAGCAGCAGCGCGGGACGCTCGTCATCGGTCGCCGCTTGGGGCGACTCTCTGAACTGCGGTTGGGGGTGGGGGTGAATCTCTGAAGGAGCTGGGAAAGGCAAGGGGGAAGTGGAGGAGGAGTGTCGGGACAGTTGTCTTCTCTCTGAAAAGGGGTTAGACTTGCACGCTCGTCTCTGCAAAGGTGTTGGGGAAGAGGTAGTGTTGATACGTGTGTATGGCCGCGTGTGTTTTCAGGTGTGGGGAAATTTCACTCTTGCGCCTTTGGTAGTGTATCTTATGTGTGGTGTGTGAGTGGTGTAGGTGTGAAGGTCCTGCCGCTGTTACCAAGTGTAAACATAGAGGTCAAACTCACCGCCGTCAGATTCTGAGAGAGTGTGCCCAACGCGGGTTTACCCAAGCTAACGAATCAAAGCATAAACAAGAGATTGACACTGCGGCGCTCAATCTAGCAGAGATGCCATACAAAAGCGTCGACCAATCCTGGTTGGCTTTTTGGGACAAGCACGTCACCCAAGTACGCCAGCGCCGCCCAATGACGTACGTCTCCGCGCGAAACTGGGAGACCAAGGGACTAAGAGACTAAGAGACTAAGAGACTGAGAGACTAAGAGACTGAGAGACTCGAGTCAAAACAACAAAACACCCTGACACTTTGGAAGAGGATACAACTTTGGCTCAAATGGCTACATGAACCGCCACCTAATAGTAAGCACATATGGTTATATCGCGTCGTTTTCTCAACATTTTGCTGCACCTTCTACACTACAACGACCTGGGGTACGCACACAGACACATCTCGAGCTCGATCTCGATCTCGATCTCGATCGCTGCCGGGTGATGCTGCCGATCCGGAGCACCGCTGACTGCCGTTGCTCGTCTTGGCGTGCAGTTTCGTGGTAGGGATCACCTGCACGTTGTGGCTGGCTAGTACTCGGGGTCGTGCAGCAATCTTTTTCACCGGGTTTCTAAGAAGACCCCGCCCTGACACTCCAGGCTCGGCATCATGCCAGAGTCACGAGCTTCCCAGCAGGCCACGGAACGGCGGCTTTTCTCCCCCTTCCTCCCGCTTCTGCTACTTTTGCTTTCATCCTCACTGGTCTCAGTGCGTGCGCAAACCGTCAATCAACTGACGTGAGCCAGTCGATCCAGCCCCATTCCCCGGCCCCATCCCCCAGCTCCGTCACCCGGCGCACCGGCACCCACCCAATGAATCACCCGACCTCAAATACACCTTGCCTTGTGCACGCAGGCGTGTGGATCAACAAATCGTGGATCGACATGGGGCAGCCTGCCTGGATGGCTCTCGCCCAGCATTTTACTACGCCCCCGCCAATTCCACCGCCTTGAACAACACGTGGGTCCTCTACTTTAAGGGGGGCGGCTGGTGCTACTCGTACGACAACTGCGTAGAGGTTGGTTGTGCATATCCACCCGCGTAGCCATTTTGCCAAGATTCAAGACCTTGACCTTGTCAGTGCAACCAGGAACGTGCTTCTCACGCCTCTACTTGTTTCCATCACTCTCCCCCCGCCGTGCTCCCGGTAGCGTGCTGGGACCGAGCTGGGCTCAACCGTCAACCTTTCGAGCCACTTTACCTTTACCGCCGGGCCTGAATCGGACAATGTCCTCAACAACCCTGACCTGGCCGGCGCCCATCGTGTTGTGCTCTGGTATTGCGATGGAGCCTCCTTTGCCGGTTCTGTTGAGCCCAAGGACTCGGCCCTCTTCATGCGGGGCCGCCACAACCTGGATGCTATTCTCGAGCACTTGGCTACGCATTTGGCCCTTGATCAAGCCACTGACGTCCTCCTCTCTGGCGGATCTGCCGGCGGCTTGGCCTCTTTTCTCCATGCTGACTATGTTCGTGCCGCCATCACCGACTTTGGTGCACCACTCCGCCGCTACAAAGTTGCCCCTGGCTCGGGCTTTTTCATGAACCATAGCAATGCCGAAGGTCAGCGCGTGTCAGTGCTCGTTTACTGTGCTATGGGAGGCGGTGTTTTTTTCTTCTTGTTTGTGCTCAAAAGGTGGTAGTGCTCCCGTCTCGCTCTGCCGGCCCTTTTCGTCACTTCGAGGTGTCTCACAGCGCCTTGCCTTTGTTCATTTCTTCCCGTTTGTGTGCGCTTGGCACGAAACGCTTCCTGGCCCTTTCCTTGCTTAAAGGAGTCCCGCAATACATTCAAGAAATGCAAAACGTCTTTCAGATGCAGAATTGCAGCAGCGGCGTGAACCAGGCCTGTTTGGTGGGCGAGGAGGATCCTCGCAATTGCATCTTTGCCCCGGTCACCTGGAACTACATCCAGGCCCCCATCTTCCCCCTGCAGTCGGTTCTTGACTCGTGGCAAATGTCCAACATTTACCCCATGGTCTGGTCCAGCTGCACCAAGAATCACTTTGAAGAATGCAACAGTACCCAGGTCCCCCCCCAAATCCCTTGTTTGTTTGTTTTGTTTTGTTTTTTGCTTTGAATTTCCTTGTCTGCTGCTCGTTTGCTCTGGCCCGTATGTTGGCCGGTGCGGGTCAGGAGGGCTTGCCACGCACGATACTCATCATAGTTGTAAACTCCATCTCCCGTCTACCGACGTGCATCTAGATTGATGGGCTGAACGCGTTTGCAGCTTCACTCATGAAGGCCGCGCAAACGCCGGCATTTTCAAAGCCCGGAAACGGTGGCTTCTACCACAGTTGCCTCATGCATGTGGGTGAGCAAAGCGGAGGCTGGACCCAATACCACATTAACAACGTCTCCATGGCCGATGCCTTTCGTGCCTGGTGGAACGCAGACCCTTCTGCGCCGGCCGCTCAGCACACCTACTACCAAGACACCTTTTTACAGCATGCGTCCCCTCACCAGGTAAATGACGCACCTCATCCCGCCACACACATCCCAGCCTCGCCTCTTATCCTACCCCCGGCTGCCCCTCTTGTGCGCAGACCAATCCTAGCTGCTCTTAACCACAGGGAACAGCCATCTTGGTTGCCTCTCCCGCACTGTTTGGAGTCAATTCACTTGACATGTGAATTGATACTTGCCCTCCCTCTCTCCCAATGCAGTAGTTGTGCTAATCCTCTGTATCTTTTGCCGTTTATGCCTTTCTCTTTCCCTCTTTCTCTGACCAATTCAATCCCTCTCTCCCAATTCCTTCTCTCCATCCTGCCACCATTGCTTCAGGGCCTTTTGGATCCAACAAGCATGTCATAAAGAAACTCCCCATCCTCCATCCTCTTCTTTGAAACTGAGAAAATCTCTCTCTAAATCTCTCTCTAAATCTCTCAATCTCTCTCTCCCCTCATGTGGTAGTTGTACTTTTCCTTTGTGCTTTACTTCTCTCTTTCTCAAACCGACCAATTCATTATTCTCTCTCACTTATCTCTCTCAAAATTGCATTTACCCCTCTTAAATTGCATTCATCTCAAAGCTCTCTTTTTGCTGACAAGTGGCGTCTTTTCCATTTTCCCTTCCAAGGTGAGAGAGTTACACACACACACACACACACACACACACACACACGGATGTTGTCGTGTTCGGTAGAGTCGAGTCGGTGGAAACGGCAGTCGCCTCGGATCCGGGCGCCGTGTTGGTTGAGATGGGAGGGTAGGAAGGATGGCTGGATGATGAGTGATCGTGCATGTTGGGCGGGTGCCTGCGTGCGTGTGCGTATGAGTGTGTGTGTGTGGTGTTCACGCTTTTGCTTGGACGCGATTTTGCGCAGATTTGAATCGGCACCATGGCGTCTTTGGCGACGTGGCCACGTCGAGCCTTGGTCCTGCTTTGCAGCTGGATGGCTTTGACCACCACCAACGGTAAGCTACACCTATGCAGGCTCGACGCACTCGCTCCCGCTGGCCTTGCTCGGCGTTGTGACAACCGATAGCCGATGACCAACTTTTTGCGTGACACCACCACCCCAGGCTTGCCCTTCGATCCCCCTCCTTACTGCACCACTTTCAATGACGGGTGCGTTCGAATTGATACGAAGACAGAAAGCATACATGCCCTGGCCAACGTTTGAGTGTTCCAGAGCAGCTTTACGTCAACGAGTGGCGCCTCATTCGACTCCTTTCGCCCGAACCCCCCTGTCACCACAGCTGCAATCTCTGTCAGCGTTTCGGAGAGAACGAATGGGATTGGGCGTGCACAGAGATGGCCTGCGAAACTTATGGCACTCCCCATTGCAACAAGTACACCTTCCCAAGCAACTGCACCGCCCTGGAGTGCGACAGCAAGTGCCCCTCGGGCTACGTGCTCGACGCCGACGCTTGCCCCACCTGTGATTGCGCAACCCCTTGCGCTCAAGCGTACGTCTTACTGCCCTCCCCGCCCCACCCGATCAAGCCTCAACAGCAAGCCCGCTGATGATCACTGACACCTGTTCTTGTCTTTGCTATAGATGCGCCTATGGCGAAAAGTGCAAGGAAGGCACCTGCGTTCGTGATTGCGACATGGGCTGTCTCATCGCCATCGACTGCGCTCCGTCCATGCCAGGCTGCAATGTTTCCAAGGTGTGCCCTGATGTTACAACCCTTTGCCTGGCTATACCGGCATCATTACCATGCCAGCCACTCGTGCTTGTGCTGTGCCATTCCACTTATTTCTCGCATTGCCGTGCACATATACACACATACGGTCGCTGTTCTCCGTGTTCTTCCTCGTCGGCCCCTGCTCGTTCCCCGATGCTTGCATCGCGTAGATTGTGCCCCATGATGTCTGCGGGTGTCAGACAGGCTGCCCCACCATGGAATGCGACCGTGGGGCTGGCGAGCAATGCTTTCTTGACTTTCAGTATGACATACATCCTTGTTCGACCAATCGCTTCTTTTCTCCTTGTTGACGAGCATAGCCTAACCCCGTGCGTACTTGCCCCAACATCATTATCCCACTAGCTGCGCAAAGCAACTCACCTGCCAGGACGGCCGCTGCGCGTGTCCTCGCACCAAGGACTGCCCAAGTGACTGTGTCTATGGATACGCCTCCGACGCGTACGGCTGTCCTACTTGCACATGCGCCGATCCGTGTGCCAACCATGATTGTGGTCCAAATACACTGTGCCGACCTGAACCCAAGCAATGCTTTACCACCCCTTGCCCCCAATACGCCTGTGACCCCATTGACAAATGTGTTACCATGAGGTACGCCGCCCCATGCATTCCATTTGCGGCCCCCCTCGATTCATCGTGCCCCAGCTATACTCCAATACTCGCGATCATTTGCATACCTCTGGCACAGGTGCATGACGGGGTACAAGTGCGCCCAGGGCCAGTGCATACGCGACTGCGACCTTGACTGCCCAGCCCCGCCCAAGTGTCCACAGGCCCTTGAAGAGTGCGCCGTCTCTCTGGTAGGCTCATCCGCCTGCCCTTCCGCCCCTTCTACCGTGTTTATTTTGTTTTTGTATTTTTGTGTTTGTTTTTCTTCTTCTTTTTCTTTCAGACAGCTCCGCAAGTAACGATTCTTCGTGGATGGCTGTAGATTATTCCGCGTGATGAATGTGGTTGCCAAACGGACTGCCCCGATATTGAATGCAATCTGGGCCGCGGCGCCACCTGTCACGAAGATTCACAGTACGTTTCTCTGTTGTTCTCAGCCTCTTACTTCTGTACTTGTGCTGTGTCTAGCATCTGTTATAAAATGATCAACACATTGTCATACGCGCCAGTTGTGCCCAAGGTCTCTTCTGCGAGCAAGGCCGATGCCAATGTGGCCTCTTGTGCGACGTTTTCTGTGAACACGGGCACGTCCTGGACGAGCAAGGCTGCCCAACGTGCACGTGTCTGCCGGATGATCCCTCGACACCACAAGAGCCGACCTCCACCCCTTCGGTCGAAACCACAGATGCAACCCAGGATGCCGATACCACCCAGAGCGTCGAAAGGAGCACACACGAAGGCACCGACGCCTCCAGCACGACCGTCGACTGCGGTTTTGTCTGCATGATCTATTGTGAGCATGGCAACGTCCTCGACGAGCGAGGCTGTCCCACATGCAGGTGCAAGGAAAAGCCTTGCTCCGCCACGAGCGAGTACGTCCAGCTCCGGCCGTGTTGCTCTGAGCGTGACTGCCATAGTTCTAGCTCCCCGCGCGCAAATGTAACCTTTTCTTGCCGTGGTCTCGAACAGCTGTGGACACGGTACCCAATGCCGCCAAGGCTCGTGTCAAGCCTGCCTCTGCCCGGAGATTGATTGCTTCATGCCCGAGGGTTGTGTCCCTGTTGAGGTGGGTGGTCTTCATACGTCGTCATTCTTCTTTCAGCAATTCCGATCTGACTGTCTCGGCGTGCGCTTCCTTAGGATACACTTGAGTCAACTGTCGTTATTGGAGCATGTGCTTGCCAGGGCTGTCCACGCTACCGCTGCACGACTGGAGCGCAAGTGGGTGACTTTTGCGACAATGACCGGTATGTCTGAAATGCTTTTCCCTGGCATTTCGTGTCCCATGACGATTTCTGGCATGAGTTGCATTCATCTCACATTTGCATCCACTTGAGCATAGATTCTGTGCCTCGGGCTTGGCTTGCGTGCGTGGAAACTGCGAGCAACTTCGACCAAACAACCCCACAACTTATGTGATTGGCACCATTCGCCTTCCAGTTGCTCTTGATATGACGTCAACGTTGACACGTGTGAGCCAGGAGCTTCAACGTGGCCTTCAATCTCTGCTTGGTAAAGCTGCGCTCAGCCCAAAATACAAAGCCCTGCCAACGTATTGCATTCACCGTTTGCACTTGCACTCGATGGGCGGATCTGGTTTTAGGATTTGCTGTCGAAGTCCATGTGTGGCTCGTGGAATCACCTCGAGCCCGCCGTGATGGCGATGATTCGCCCGTCGTCGCCGTGGCAAGCACAAGCACGGTGCTTCGCTACCGTGTGACAAGTATTGGTGACAATGTCGACGAGACGGCTTTGCGCACCATGCTGGAATCCTCGACACTGCAGAATGAAGTGCGGGAAAAGACAGATTTGGACCTGGAGGTAGGTGGAGACACACTCCCTGTGACCTTGATGGCCCTGAGATCAGCCACCGACGCCACCCTCATTGCAACTACTTTGTCCCGTGGTTCGACCGGTCATGGCACTTTTTTTTTTCTTTTTTTTTTTTTTAAATTACATGTAGTTTCTTGAAGTTGAGGAGAGCGGCCGCGTTACTGCCTTGGAGGAACAACCAGCGCGCGCTGTCGCTCCTGAAGATGACAAAGCGTCCAGCACATCCATGATCGTTATCGTTGGCGCCGCTTGTGGAGCTGTGGTTCTTGTTGCCCTCACAATCGCCGCCGTGGTGATGGCTCGTCGCCGCAACAGCGAGTGCGTACTATCGGCGAGGCCCCCTCCTATGCATGATGTCTGTGGATCCTGACCCTGACTGCGGTATGACTTCTGATCCTCATGTCTATTATGCACAATGCCGTTGAAGCAGGCGGGTACGGGTGGATGCACACGAGACGCAGGCCGGCATGGCGACCAATCCCGGTTTTGAGCAGCACTCGGTCCTCAGTGTTGCTGGGCTCTCAACCAATCTTGATGGCCTTGAAGCAGAGGTCCAGGCTTGAGTCGGCATGGACGTGGCTTCCAACTCACCCTACGCTTTATCGAGCTGGCATTTTGATGTTTGTCCCCATCCATACTCCCCCTTGTTCACATATTAATGACTGTGCGTGCATCTGTAAAAATTATCTTGTGTCTCCTGTGCCTCACGCTCTTGCTGCCAAATGTTTGTGATTTGTGATTCATTGCCGTGTCATGTGACCATGGCAAGAGCTCCTTCTTTGGTAAAATGATGATAATTGTGATTCGTCTTACATGATGAACAATCACGCGTGTATAACGCGTAGCCCTGGTTGCTGCGTGGGATGGCTCTTCGTGAGCTGCAAAATGGGATTGGCCGGTGCTCTGCACGGGCTGATGAGTACTGGCCACTCAGGCAGATAGATCGATCATGGGTTCATCATCGTCGCCATCGTCATCGTTGATGGGAGGAATGGGGGGCCCTGATCGTGTGGCAGGGATGATGGCGTGGCTGGCGTTTGTGGAGCTAGGGCCCTCTGCCTCATCATCTTCGAAATCGGAGTCATAAGACACCGAAGGCTGTGGCGAGCAAGCAGGGTCGCTCGATAGCGCCGTGTCATCCACGGTTGGTAAGGCCTGATAGCCTGTCTGACCGCGTAGGTTGCGCCCGATATTCTGAAATATATGGGAGACGCGCTCACCCAGCCCAGTGGAATGATGTTCGTGGTGTGCGGCCGCATGGGTGGCGTGTGCTAGCGCGTCGAGATCATCCGGGTCGATCCCTGCTGAGTCCTCATCACCAAACATGGACGGGTCAAACGCTGGCAAGGTGCGTGCCTCAAAAGCACGAAAAAACGCTGACGGAGCATGATCCGGGTATGCCGTTGTCGGGCCATGAGGTCCATGCCTGATGGGAGGGCCAGGCACTGTGGATGTGAGGTGGGGTTGAGACAGCTGAAGGCGCCACGTTGGTGTGGTTGTTGGGGTACGGATAGTGGGACGCTGGGTGGCCAATGTGGAGCGTGCGAGTCGTTCTCGGGACTGTGAGGTCGGCACGGAGCCAGGTGCAGCGGGACAGTCCCTGTATGCCGTGTGGCGAAGGACGGACGGGGCGTAGCCTGAGCGGGAGATGGGCGCACGACCCGAGGCAATGGGCAGCCGTGCGTCTGGAGGTCCCCGCATCATGGGGCCCGATGGATTTCGAGTAGGTTGAGAAGCGTGATTTGAGAAAGCCGGTGATCGTGTGGTAGCTGGCGAAATGGCAGGCTGATGTGCACGGCGACCTTCGTTTTCGATGATGCGGGTGAGAAGCTGCGCCTCTTCTTGATAGCTGATGGCGTCTCGTGCACCTTGACGAAACTGCAGCTCGCGATCGGAGACAATGCCACGGCGACGGGGGTCGTGGATGTAGGCTGGGGGCAACAAGGGAGGCGGGATGGTGGCGTAGATAGCGGGGTCGGCAGGTCTGGCTTGGAGGGGGCCCTTGAGGCGGGAAGCAAGGGCATAGGAAGGAGGTCGGCAGAGGAGAAGGAAGCTTGGGGATTGATAGGGCGGGGGTTTACGCTTTCGATCACGGCGCAGCCGCAGCTGGAGGGCTTCGAGAACATCTTCTCTGGGAATTCCCGCTTGTTCGCGGAGGGTGGCCAGGAAAAGCTCTTCGCTGGTGGCATACCAGCGCGTGAGGCAGAGCCAGCCGTATTGGAGAAGGCACAATGCGCCGCTGCCAGGCAGGAGCCAGAAAGACCAGGAAAGGGAAACCGAAGCAGACGTTGCCGTGGTCCAGCTGGAAGAGGAGTTGGTAAGGGAAATGTACTGGCCAACGTTTTGCTGCACGGCGTGATGAAACTGAAGCCACGTGACAATGGCCACGGCTATTGCAAGAAGGGTAGACAGGTGGGAAAGGTGTTGCCACCGAGAGACGCGCAGCGAGTCATATTTGGCCCGATGCCTACAAGCGTCGAGCGCCGTTCAGTGACGTTTTGGCCCAGATGGTGAATCCAAGGAACAAATGAAAAGGTGAGAAAGTGAGCGTGGACGGGCAGAAGAATGATCACTGGTGCCTCTGAAGCAGTCGGACGCGTGGTCAAACTGGAATCATTGAGCAGACAAGAAAAAAAAAAGAGGTGGCTGGTGTTGTCAAAACGTACCCGGCCTGAAACTGAGCGATTAACGTCGTGGCCACACAAAGGCCAAGACAAGCGGCTGCAACTTGCGAAAAGGCGCAGTGCGATTTACATTGCCCGCTACATGATGGCGTCCCAAGGGGGGGTGGGGGGGTGAAGGTGCGAAGTTGGGAATCAGAGGGGTTTGGAGTTGGCCTGTATCGTTCAGGACCCTGCTTTGTTTGAAACAAGCGCCAAACCGCCGAGATCAAAACATCGCAATCAGGTGTGTAGGGCCGGGATCTTACGGTGAGCAAGAGGTGGCAACACTGCCAGATCCCGTGGCGTCGTTGGACTGGCAGCCATCTGTGGGTGGCAAACAAGATCGTAAATGGGTGAATGAAATTGACCAAGACGCGAGGCGCTGAGCTCAATCAGGGCCGAAGAGGGCTGTGCGCGAGGGGGCAACGTACAGACAATGCCAATGGCCAATGTTTGCACCGTTGTACCCTTGTTATTCGTCCTGATGATTTGGGACACGCCTGAGTGAAGAAGAGCGAGGGTAGGCGAAATCCACAAGGGCCTCAGATGGACAGGCTATGCGCACAGTTTTACGTACGCGGTGATGACGGTCCAAAACGCAGTCAGGAAAGCAATGGCGGCAATGATGAGGGCCAGAACGCCAGCAAAGCGCAGGGCGATAGGGTTGGCGTGCTGGCGGGCCACTCTTCGCATCCAGCGACCCAGCCGTGCGGCCCACGTTGCCATTCTCTGGATGCCGATGAATGGATGGGCGGACGGACGAACGGAACGGACGGATATACTGATGCGCGGGCGGTTGGATGGATGAATGAACGGATGAATAGACGATTGGGTATCGCAGAGACACAAGTCCGCACGCCCAAGGACTAGAGGGCTTGCTGCCACAAAGCTCGCCTAAACCACCCTTTCCATCGCCGTGCTGCTCAGCAGATCAGCATCGTACCACCCGACAAGCTCACGCAGACCAAACGACGACCACGAAAATGGAAGAGCCGAAATCAAGAGCAAGAGAAGAAGACGAAGCGGAAAATGGCAAGAGCGCAAAGGGCAGCGAGCTGAGCGCCGACCACAAAGTCGCCGCCGAAACAAGTCGTAACAATTTTATTACATGTAACATGTAAAAAAAAAAATTAAAACACGTTTCCTTTATTTTTTTTTTTTTATTTTTTTTTATGATGTGTATGGCAAGCTCTTTTAACACTCTAGATTGCCTTGAAGCAACGTGTTCACAAGAAAAGCATTATTTTAACAACATCATGTTAAGCAAAAAGTTCACAGCAAAGAAGCAAACAAAGAATCATCGCAAAGAGAGAAGCAAAGCTACAAAGAGAAGCAAAGAAGCAAAGAAGCAAAGCAAAGCAAGCAAAGAGAAGGTAAAGCAAAGCAGAAAAGCAAAGCAAAGCAAAAGCTACAGTCTTCAAACAAAAAAAAAAAAAAACCTCACACACACTTGAGTGTACATGTCGTGTAAGGCTGTTCTGTTCTCTTAAATTGCTGTGTATAGCTCTCTCTACAACAACAATAGCCTTACCTCAAAGAGTGCTTTTTTTTTTTTTTTTTTTTTTCATTTTCTTTTTCCAATCTTCAACGGTCACATTGAGAGCAGAGGGCGGTGGAGACAAGTGGATTTGGAGCCTGGCTGCTTGCTTGTACCAAGGCACTACCTGATCGGACTGGGTCTGCGTGTACAAGACACCAGTTTGTGCTGATCGTTCTCCTCTTTCGGTCGATTGCGCTCGCATGAGCCCGCAATCAGACCATGGCGGTCACCAACGTAAGGGCTTTGATCTGGCTCGACCGTTTTTTGTTTTTTAGGGTTGTGTCTGCTCCTTTCTGGTTCTCGCCTGTCTTCGCACCCCTGACTTTGTTGATGAACGTGTGCTCATACTGCTCGTTTCTGGAAATAGGTGTATCTGCAGGTCGTGGATGAACGCCCCGAGCGAGCCGTGGTCAGCACAGCACAGCACAACGCCGAGAACTATGAGGAGCTCCTCGACCACCTCAAGCTGGTTGGCGTCGCAACCTTGACACACCACATCCCCTGCTTGACAGACAGTATCGATCCGCCCCTCGACGGTTCTCCTCACATTGACGTTCGACCATCCACTCGCGCTGCGTGTGTAGACCATTGACCCATCTGACAGTGAATTTACTTTGGAACTGCCCAATGGTGAACCCCTCACTGCTGCCCACTGGCGTAAGTTGTTCATCTCTCAGCTTGGAACCCAGCCATCGTACTAACCGCCATCACAACCCATTCCTGGCCCCCACCTCTTTGTGATGCCGGACTGGCTATTCTCACGCATCGCCAACGTGCCCGCAGCCGACCTGAGTGCGGGCCACATCAACGCAGTGCACATTGTCCCCGCTTCACAGCCTGGTTTGCGGCGGGTTCGTCTCCTGCATTCTTTGTCGGCTCTCTGCAAACACCCCAGGTCCATCTGCAATGTCATTCTTGCCACAGACTCATGCACACTTTCATGGTCTCGCTCGGCTCTTCCCTCCTCCAATAGCCGACCCGCTCGACTCAAGTCGAGCACGCCCCGCACCCACATGCCGTCACGCAGTCTGGCAACTATGAGTACTTTGAGTCTCAAGGTGGATCGCCCATCGGTGAGCTAACCTGTCCAGCTGCGCAGACCGACGACAGCTTCAGTCTCAATCTCATTGCACGCCCCATCACCCGTCATCTAGCCTTTGCCATTGCCGAATTTGTGGACAACAGCCTGATGGCCACTCGTCACAGCAAGGACAGGCATATCATCGTCCGCTTGGTTGGTTTACACCCCCACGCTTCATTATCCTTCCCGTGTGCTTTGCTACTTGTCAAGACAATGTCTTTGTTGTTTCTTGTCTGTCCCCCAAGATGCTCCGACTCGTTGCTTCGGCCACTTGTTTATTTTGCATGTGATTCAACCTAGGTTGAACAAAACGATCGCGCACATTTAATTATTGCCGATAATGGCTATGGCATGGTCGAAAAGTCTCTCCGTGACTGGGCCATCCATGGCTTCACCCTCAGCGAGCGCATAGGGTCCGTCAAGTATCCCATCCACCACTCGTCCACGATTAAGCTATATTTCTGCACACACTGCACATACGCGCGCTCACCTCTATATTTGATGGACGTGTACGCTTGTTTGTGGAAACCTGCCCCGGTGCAGCAAGGATATCCGTCCAGACAACCCCAATCACCCCATGCACCGCTACCTGAACAGCTTCATCAGCTTCTTCGGTGCTGGCTCAAAACAAGGCGGCTTTTTTCTTGGCAAATCGTTGCGTGTAAGCTTTGCGCCTGTTTCCTTGACCAAGCAGACTGCTCGCATTGCATCGAAAAGTCCGGATATCCTTGACCAATCCACCATGCTGGCTACGAATGCGGAGTAGATGATCACCAAGGCAGCCAACTCTGAAGATGTGCTAGAACTGGCAATGGAGAGTGATGAAATGCACACTCGTGCCAGAAAAGGCGATGCCGTGCGTGCCAGCCATCTCGCCTTGACTGAGTTGATCGCCACGCTTATTCAACACCCTGTTCTCGCTGCCTTGCGGTAGGCATACGTGAGCCAAATGCTCGCTCGCAAACCGGGAAACCTGGAACCACATCACAAGCTGTATGAAGATTTTATTGCACAAGAGACTTCACTGTCAAGTTTCACGCTCGCCGTCATTGAGGTATGGTGCTCTCCTATTCAACAAGATTGCTGCTTTGCCAGGAGACAACAGGCCTTGCTCCACCACTTGGGCAATTGACCTCGCATGTACATCCTCTTCCTCCTCTTCCTCTCCGCTCTCCTCTCTCTCTCTCTCTCTCTCTCTCTCTCTCTCTCTCTCTCTCTCTCTCTCTCTCTCTCTCTCTCTCTCTCTCTCTCTCTCTCTCTCTCTCTCTCTCTCTCTCTTTCTCTTTCTCTCTCTCTTTCTTTTTCCTCTCTCTATTTCTTTCTTCCTTTGTACCACAGGACGTGCGCCCAGCCCACCTGGAATTCTTGCGCGCTTACATGCCTGTGAGCCGATCTTTGGCGTACATTTACCACTACTATCTCCACGGCTTTTTTGGAAACGTGGAGGACCACGAGCTATCCGAGGAAGAAAAGGCGTGGGTAACGCTTCATTTCCCCTGGACACACCTCGCCTGAGCCCGCCGTCTTGGCCACTCATCCATGGTACCTTTGTTCGATTGATGATTCTTTCTCCCAAACCCCTTGGTCTGCCAGTATTGTGGTCAAACTTCGGTACCAGGTGAAGATTGATGGAGAACTGGTTGGCGACATTGACCTGGCCGACCTGAGCGAGCCCGACGTTGAAACTTGGTTTGACCTGACCCGGGATGCACCTGCATGGACACATGTTCACCCCAAACTTTCAGGCGGGAAACCTCACTAATCGTTTTTTGTTCGTTTGTTTGATTTTTGGTTTTGCCGTGCAGTGTCTTGCGCTCTGCTCAGCGCTTTTTTAACTTTAAAATCGAAGTCCCTGCCAATGGAACGGCGCCATTACGCGTAGTTCAGGGCCAGCTGCGCTACCATCCCTTTGTGCAAGATCACGAAACCCTGCCCAACCGCGTAAGTGAATGCCCATGATTTTCGAATCAGTCTTCATGTGATTTTTGTTTTGTTGTGTTTTTTTGTTTCTTGCACACTTCGGTCCTCCTGTCCCAGCGACTCTTCGAGCGTCTGATAAAGATTACGCCGCGCGCACGGTTCAATAGTCAAAGCTAATGCTGGCCGCTCCCAAGTCAATGAAGACCAACAACGGCGACGACAACATGGATGTGGACGATGCGGAGGATTTGGACGAGCATGAGGTCAACGAAGCTGATGAGTCGCCTGTGGTGGATGCCGATGATGGGACACTGCGACCCATTTTTGTCATTTACTGGAATGGCCGTCTCATTGGCAACGCCACTGTTTCCTCGTACGTGAACTCACCGTCATACCCCTTTGCGCATGCAGTGCCCTTCCTCTCATCTTCCACTGAATAGGCTTAATTTTTGCTCAATCTTGAATCGCGAGTACAAGCCCAATACGGCATCGTAGGTCCATGCTGGCTACCAAACACTCAATGGCCCCTTCTAAAATCACGCGCGCTCTTCACTTGCGACGCAAATTGTCCAATGCAGATCGTTTGCCGCGGAAGTCTTCCATCGACAGACGGGCACGCTGTGGTTTGGCACGCCATGGACCGTCACGACCAACAAGCTCACGCTATTACAGAATGCTCGCGTCAGTCTTCTGAGTGGCACGGAAATTGCACACCCGTTTTTAAGGAGCACAAAAGCACGCCCTCACCCACCCTTTTTGACTTTGCATATGCAGGAGCAACTGAACAGTGACGAATGCACGTTTGGTGTCTTCACTCAGGAGGGGGACCTGGTGAAAAGCGCCGGCCGTAACATTTCGCGAACCTACCTTCAGGTTCGTCAGCCCAATGCGTTGCATTTTGGTGCTTTGCTTTGTTGGTTGGTTTGTTTTTCCTGCTTTCAAAAACTCTGTCCACTTACTCGTGATCCTAACGACGGCAGTGGTTGGAGGAATGCCACCGAGACTTGGACAAGGAAATCCAATATCAAAATGCGCAAGAAACCGAGGTCATCAATGAGCAAATGTACACCATCTTCAGCAAGGCCCGACTGGGCAGAACGACGTTGAAAAAGAAAACGCTTGTGAAGGTTTGTCCCCTTTAGCGCACCATGTTGTTCGCGCCTTCAAACTTTACCTCTGCGACCAATCTCACATCATGTATCCAATGGATCATGTCTTAATCGACTTTGTTGGTGCATTCTTGCCATTGACAGTGGAAGAGCAAGCGCGCCTGGCATTGTGGCGTGGTCCTAGGAATATATGTGCAGGGCAACTACAAGGGACAATCTGCAGAGGTTGTTCACACGGCGGGCATGCGGTCCTTCGTTCGGTGTCGCCAAGAGCCAGCCGAAGTGCTTGGTGACATGATCGACGTGCCCATGCGCGACTTTTCCGGCTGGCGACGGGTATGCCAAGCTCTCTAATCCAAGCTGCCGCCTGCTGTTGGCCAAGCAGTGATCACAAGAGCATGCTTCTGCTCTTCACTCAGCGATACTGACAAATCTCATATCTTTGCTTTGCTTTGGTCAGGCGAGCATTTTGGAACGTGACGAGTTCGACAAGCTCCTTCAAACAGAGCGAAAGCGCCTGCCGCAGTCGGTCCGTGCTTGCTTGTACACCATGGTTGTTCATTTCAGCGCTGCATCACAAAGCTGACCTTCGGGCGTGAATAGATGGAACTGTTGTGGCCCAAGAAAGGAGAATACGAAGGATCGTGTCTCAGTCTTGATCGTGTTGACAAGTTTACTGCTGGTTCACATATTGGTATGAGCTGCCTTGCTCGGCATGGAGAGCGACATTTGCGCGCTGCCTTCGCTGATATCTGCTCTGGACCATGCACAATCTATTCATTTTGCACTGGGATTGCCCGCCCTTGCGCCCCGGAAAAAAATGTTTGCAGGGCCCATTGACGTCAATGTCTTGTCAAGCTCTGGAAAGCCAGTCAGCTCAGACGTGTACAAGCGGATTTTCGTGCGTCTTATCTTGGAACACAAGGGCCCCGATGAGGAAGAGTTTACGCAAGCCGGCGATCCGTACGACGCCAAAGAGGTCAAGTACCGCTATTTCAATGCCTTCCACTTTAAGCGAGCCGGGCTGTGGCGTATGACATTTCAAGTGATTCATCGGACACAGCCCACGCAATCCTTCTTTGATGTCCCGCCCGTTGTCGTGACGTTTGAGCTCACCCCAGCCGCCATGCAAGAGGTCAAAGCCGAGGTACGACCGTAGGACCATTGACGTGACCACAACTTCCACTACCACTGCCTACATGTGCCCAAACGTTTGTCAGATAGCTCATGTATCGCCGTGCAACGATATTTGGCCGATAGTTGAACGAGCCTAGCGACGGACAGCTTGAGCTAAGCTCGCAGGCTACAGTAAAGGTAGCGCTAAAGTTTTACGACGAATTTGAAAACATCTGCCAGCATCGCTTGGACAACATCAACCTATCCAGCGAGCTGCTGTCTATCAACGACTCGCAGGCCAAGCGCATTCGGACGTTCCCGTATGGTTATGACATGACTTGTGATGTGCACCCAATTCGCGAGGCTCTGGAAGGCACGGGCCCCTGGCAGGGCAGCATTTACGTCAGTGCCGTCTTGTTTGAGCGATGCTCCAAGTTCATGTGCAGACCTTGAATTTGCCGCACGAATCCACACATCAGGGGTCGTTGCGACATCCCGTCCCATGGCCTCACTGTCAATGCAACTGTTTTGGGTGATGTAGGTCACAGTGGATGACAAATTCCAAGACACGGTGGCCTTCACGCTGATTCCTGGGGCCCCAGCTAGCCTCGAGTTGATGTCGCCCCGCGTGGTCGATGGGGTTGTCACCATGGAAAACTACAAAGTTGGTCCCCTTATGATACCAATGCATAAGCTCGATCGCAAAGTACTTGTCTTACCCCAATGCATCGTATGCATTTGATCCATATAGCCTTTTCCTCTCCTCGAGATGCGTGTGCTCGATGCCTTTGGTCTGATCACACGACCCAAAGCGGTTTGTCAAAGAGTCGTTCGCGTGTGCCTGTTGGAAGTAACGGCAGCAAGGATTGAGGCTCACATTCGTGACCGATTGCATAGGGCAAGACATGGCGTCTGTTGGCCACAGTCAACTTGAATGGCAAAACATTGTCCAAAATCTACTCTGTGACACCGGTGCGCACCGAATTGTTGTCAAACTTTGAACATGTACCCATCTGCCTGCCCGATGTCCTGTGTATTGCAGAATTGACCACCCTACATGCACTGGCACAGGAGGGCACGCTGGTGCCAACTGAGGCGCCACCGCTTAACGTGTCAAGCTCTAAGCACGGCGCGCAAGAAGCCGTGCTCTCAGTGCAGCTTCTGGCCGATTCCTTCACGGGCGCGTCCGAGAAAGATGCCCGCCGACACATAGTCCCAAATGTACGTTAATTGCCGCATTAAGATGCGGTGGTACTGGCACGACTTGATGATAATTCTGCCAAGCGAGTATCACCTTCAATTGCTTATGCGTATCTTTTCAAACCCTCGAATACAGGTGGAAGCCTCAGTACTGTCTTTACAAATTCAACCCAGCAGCGAACGACTTGGCAAGGTTCAACTGGAAGTTGACGGCGAGCGCTTCGAGACGGCCGAAAAGAAAGGTATGACGATGATGGGTCAGGGCAGCTGTTGTGCTAGTTGACCAAACCTAGGTCAGCCTCTCAAGTGCCCCCATTTTGACGGCCACCGTAGCGAGCTTTTCTATCACGCGACCGGCTGGGCTGAAAATCGACACTGCCTCTTTTTCCATGCTGGCCGAGGTATGGGAATTGTTTTGCTTTATCCGCCATAAGACCTGCAGTGTGCAATTGCCCAAGCAACGGTTACGTGGACTTGATCTCGCCGGATGCTTTTCGTGGGTTATTCTCAATTGTAGAATGGCAAACAACTTGTTGCATCGGACAAGTTTATGCATCGGATTGAAAGTTGGGTCGATGGTGCACGCAAGTACTACAAGGTTCGGTTGCACCGCATATCTTTGCCGTGCTTTTTCATGATTTGAATGTCGATCATCAGCAGCCCTGCGGACCACGCAAGCCCGCACATTTCTCTCATAAACCGCCCCTGTGTTTTAACTGATATAGCACGGTCGGCTGCCGCCCATTGAAGTTCCTAAGCTGGTCGGGCAGCCCAGCACGTATCGATTGCGGCTTCCTGTGGCTGCCAAGGGCTCTGACTTTTTTGTCTTGACTCTGGTGGTACATGCTGAACCCCGAGAGCCCCACGAGCTTCAGGCATGTTTCCCTGTTGGGTGTCATTGCCCCGGCATATTCGCGGCTGTTGTTGGCCGAGTCGCAGTTGTTTGGCTCTCACATGTTTCCTGTGATCGTACAGGTGACGCTGCGACAAGAAAAGTACGCCCGCAACACGATGGCGACTGAAGATCAGGGCATGGAGCTTCGAGTTATGGACAGGCACGGCAACGTTATACCCCCGGCCAAGTGGATGACTGAGACCGTCCGAATCTCGTCGCGCTCCAGGCTTGACACTGATCAAATGATTCAGGTTGGATGTGTGAATCGGACTGTGAACCTTGCACGGTGAGGTGCCTTGTCACTCATTCGAGCCTTCGCCCAGACGCTCTCCCAAGATGAGACTTTCATTTTGCTGTACAATTTCAAGGTCACCTGCGCACCCGAAACCTTCAAAGTACGCTTTTCTGTTTTTGCCAGGCCTGATCAAAGTACATCGATATGCACGGGGTGCACGCAGCAAAGCTCTTTGCTCACGATGGAGCTGACCGAGTTCTTCGTGTCCATGAATTTAGTACATTCTCAACCACCTGCTATCCTGCTTGACTTTGTACTGGCGCAGGTTGATGTCGTGCTGGGCAGCGTTTGCCAAGCAAGCGTTACTTTGGTCGCATTGCCTGGCCAGCCGCACCGCCTGCTGTTTCCTGAATTCGAGGGCAAGGTCTGTTGAAATTTGGCTGAACAAGCCATGCCGGCAATTGCTTTTGGGCGCAATGCAGTTTTGCACATTTCAGCAGTTTCATCACGTACGAGCGCGCACGCGCGCGCGGTGGCTTCCTTGCTAGGGTGGCGAGACGAGCTGGGACCATCTCGTGCCAATGATTTACGGTCAACCCTTGGATCGTGACTATGAAATCAACATTGTTGATCAGGATTTTGAGCTCTGTGCTGACGAATGTGAGCCCAGCTCCCGCTTGTTTGCCACAAACCTGAGCACTGGCATATGTTTGATGACCTGCTGTGCTTTTTGTGCCTTTATTTGCGAGTCTAGATTTGCGAGGCTACAAGCTTGTGGCCACACTGCTTAACGCCAATCCGGTATGGCCACACATTTCATCTTGCAATTCTGGCCCGTCCAACCGTCTTTCAAACCTCATCTGATCGCGGCACTTTTGGACTGGACGTATAATTCGCTCTGAGTAGCCGCGCCTTCAAATCAAATCATCCATTTCCGTCGAGCTCAATGGACCTTCGCTCAAGCTGCCAAGTTTTATTGTTCAAGGCGATGCTGGCACGGCAGATTTGCAGTTCAAGCTGGCGCCCAAGGTGCGTTTTAAGTCACAATCCCTTTCTTGCCTTGATGCATCAAGAATGCTGCCTCAAGCGGAGACAAAATATTGCCGATTTGGATGGCTCTCTCATGGCTCGTGTGTGGCTACTTTTAGGATGCAACCCAACCACATGTGATATTAAATCCTCCACTCCATTTGTTGGTCTCTTACGACCCATTGCGTGTGTCAGCTCTTTGGGTATGTCTGTGCAAAGCATCAAATTACTTGATAGTGATCTCCCGCACTCATTTGAAAAAAATTTGTGCTGTTCTTCGGTTGGCTCTCAACAGATCATGCCAACACCGGAGCCCGTTCAGGTAAGATAAGAATGAAAATAATGATTAAAAAAAGAGGTTTTCGATTGAGTGACCCCAAGCACCCCGATCACCTGGACCGCGTATTCTCATCTGATTCTGACGTCTCAGAGCACGGGTGACATTGCCCGTGTGCCAGCCGGCAGCCATGTGCCCCCCCTCTACCTGGCGCTGATTGGGCATGACCAGGCTGAACCCATCGATGCCAGTCAATGGTTGGCCCGCGGCTACGGGCGCCTTAGCGTCACGCTTCACCACGCAGTGACGAAAGAAAAGGTGACGCTTCTACTCACGTCGCACTGCTCACGATGTATGCACACATTTTTCCCTACTGATCGACATCTGATGCTCGTTCCGATCTGACAGGTCGACATGGTCTTGGAGCCTGAGGGCAAAGTCCTTAAAGTCACAACGGATAAGATTTTCAAGCTGGCCGGTGCTGTTCGTGTCTTTGCGCTGGCCCAACGGTAAATCAGGCCCCGCCGCTGGCGTACGGCGCAAGACACACTTGTTGATTATTCTGGCCTGTCTAAATCTTTCTGCTGGGCGCGTTCATCAACAGAGCTAATCCAAAGCGAGAGTATTCGGCCGCTTGCTCCCTTGTTGTTTCTGCGGACGCCCCTAATGCCCTGGTTGCCTCAAAAACGCAAGAAATCTGTACGTGGCATTGGCACCTTTTGACTGTTTCCGGTGGATGCCAGTGATGTCCAGCATCTCGATCCGGCGCCTCTCACCGCATCATTGCACGGTTAGCTGTCTGCAATGTGGAAGGCAAAAATCGGCTACTCGAAGACCTTCAGCTGGAGGTCAAGGTTGGATCATGTTCAGCAGATGCGTGCTTTCTCGATCTTTTTGCACTAAACAGATGCACTCAAGGCTGAATGACTGTGGTGTGAGTACAGGATCGATTTGGCAATCTATGCGAGCTAAGCGGTGCGCTCCAGTTGGATGTACGGCGGCGTGGCGCAGACCCTGCCTGCAGAGT